CGGCTCGCCACATGTCGGGGTGGTATAAGTTCTCAACTTCAAAATTCGTTTTGTGGTATTGCTTGACAAAAATTTCAAGTCCCATAACCCATGACTGGTGGAATTGTGAGTCTTCTTTTGTCCCTTGTACACATGTTAACTACAAGTGTTCACGAGTTGAGTTATGTCGAGTCGGGTCGTGTTACCCTTAGCTCATCAGAACCGACACCATCGGGTGAGGAAATCAGTCACTCTTTATCGATCGATATACTGTTCGAAATCAACCAAATCATAGACCTCGGTTTGATTATCAGTTTAGTCGATTTTGAAGATCCAACAAAGATAAGAAAGAGTAGAAAAAAATTTATGAAAAATGAAATTCAAATTTCAAAACAACACACCTTAAAACTTATATATATATATATATATTTACAGATCCGTGCAAGAGAGAGTGGAGGAAGGAAATGGGGGAAAAAGAGAGAAGAGAGAGTGGATGAAGAAAATGGAGAGAGAGAGAGAGAGAGAGAGAGAGAGAGAGAGAGAGAAAGACTGTTTCTTAGACTCCAATGAAGAGAAGAAAAAACAGAGTGTGAGTGACCTACAGAGTGAAGAGAGACTGAGAGATAGAGTCTTTTTAGTTTTCTAGAAAAGACTCTTAGGGTTTATGAGAGAGAAAAACATTGAATGGTTATGAAAAAAAATGGGAGAAAGTGAGAGAGACCGAGAGTGAAGAGTGAGTGATAGAGAGAGAAAGTATCTTTTTTTTTTTGGGAAGTCTTTGGGTTTATGAGAGAGAGATATTGAATGGTTATGAGAAAGCATAGCAGTCTGTCGTAAAGGACTTAGGCTGACAAGAGTGTACTTCCAAGGCCACCAATATAAAATGCTATATAATTAAATTTATTTGGTTAGGTGTGTATTTTTTGTATCCATTTCCAACCACAAACTCGTGAAATAATATATTAGAAAACCGCAGCCGATCATTCACCTGCTCGAAATCGTCTCTAACATCATGAGGCTATCTGGGTCGGACGATTTATGCGGGTTAGCGGGTATAATGACAACCCTACTATTAACCCCAACATCCCATCCTTACTAACTTCTACACCTACGTATTTCTTAGTTTGTTTTGAACTTGCTAATGTAATGGATGTGAGAATTAAATTAATTTTAATTCAGAAAGAAGAATACCTCCTGCCATGATGTTCAAGCCTTTGAATCTTTATCCTTGAATGATCAAGTCTTGAATGTATAAAGAAGCCCACTCATAGAACACTTTTACAGAACCATATGAGAAAAGTGAAAGGGATAGAGTTTCAAGCCTAGTCTATGCGCAAAACAACGTCTGTGTTTGATGGCTATCACAAGCATATATATAGATAGGCTTGGACCCATATCCAAGTGTAACTCTTTATAACTTCCCACCATCAGGGAAGTTATAAAGTCCCATGAAACCACCATATGGGATATTAAACAGACATCAGTTACCCATTAACTATTAAACTAATTAATTAGTCATTAAACCAATTAAATATATATAATAAATATATATAATATAAGTAAAGAAATAAATAAAACAAACATGTGATATATGGGCCACTTTATGGATATTCTTACATTCTCCCACTTGGCACATATAACACACGTTATTGACTGTCGGGTAACTACCAAACTGATGATGGTCATTAAATAAAAATACCCAAACCTTAGAGGTATAATACACGAATCATGGCGGTTATACTCTATCAATTAAGTATTTCCTTCCATGTATTACATTGTATCACACTCTCAACTTAATGTGGTGTCATTCTTTATGAATAACTTCTAATAAGTTATTCTAGGTCCAATGATCCCTATGGATCAATAGTCCCAATGGACTGCATAGCATCACGAATACTTTAGGTGCACAAAATGATGCTTTTCACTAGTAATAATCAAAATGTCATGACAAAACAAAATAAAACAACAACTAGAAAAATTATTGAGCTAACCAATCAGTCTCATGCCCTCAACGTGTTTTGAAGACACCTTTATAGAAAGACCTTTGGTCATGGGATCTGCAACCATCATATCGGTACTAATATGCTCAATACTGACTTTTTGCTTCTTAACATGGTCTCGAATAGCAAGATACTTTATGTCAATATGCTTGCTTCGACTACCACTTTTGTTGTTGTTAGAGAAGAAAACCGCAGCCGAATTATCACAGTAAACCTTTAATGGCTTAGAAATTGAATCCACAATTCGAAGCCCTGTGATAAAATTCCATAACCAAACAGCCTGTGAGGTTGCTTCAAAGCATGCTATAAACTCTGCTTCTATTGTTGACGATGCAATTATCGTCTCTAAAACAGCAGTGCCTGCTAGCAGAGAGACATATCCTAAAGTGGATTTTCTGGAATCTTGACAACCCGCAAAATTCGAGTCTGAATATCCAACCACCTCAAGACAGTCAACATGCTTAAGTAAGCATGTAGTCCTTGGTTCCCTTTAAGTACCTCATGATTTTCTTTGCAGCCTTCCAATGTTCCATTCCTAGATTACTTTGGTATCTTTCAAGCATCCCAACTGCAAATGCAATGTCAGGTCGTGTACAAACCAAAGCATGCATTAAACAGCCTACGGCAGACGCATAGGGAATGCTAACCATTTGTTCCTTTTCCAAATCATTCTTCAGACATTGACTTAAACTGAATTTGTCACCCTTTAAAAGGGGTGCTGCATTAGGAGTGCAATCACTTATCTTGAATTTCTCCAAAACTCTTTCAATTCAGGCTTTATGAGATAGTCCTAATGTCCTTTTGGACCTATCTCTGTGAATCTCTATGCCAATGACATAAGAAGCTTCACCGATATCCTTCATTTCAAAATTTTGAGAAAGAAATTGTTTAGTATCATGCAACAATCCCAAATCATTAGATGCAAGTAAAATGTCATCCACATATAGAATTAGAAAAATGTATTTGCTCCCACTAACCTTAAGGTATATACAGTTGTCCACAACATTCTCCGTAAAACCATATAAAGTAATAACATTGTGGAACTTTAAATACTACTGTCGGGAAGCTTGTTTTAGTCCATATATAGATTTCTTGAGCTTGCAAACTAAGTGACTATCTTTATCAAAACAAAAACCTTCAGGTTGCTTTATGTATACTTCTTCCTCAAGATCCCCATTCAGAAATGCTGTTTTCACATCCATTTGATGTAGCTCTAAATCAAAATGAGCCACTAATGCCATGATAATTCTAAATGAATCCTTTTTTGAAACTGGAGAAAAGGTACTATGATGATCGATGCCTTCTTTTTGAGTGAAACCTTTAGCTATGAGTCTAGCTTTATATCGTTCGACGTTGCCATTGGAGTCTTTATTGGTCTTATAGACCCATTTATAGCCAACCGCTTTAACTCTTTTAGGCAATTCGACAATTTCCCAAACTTGATTCTTAGCCATAGATTCCAACTCTTCCTTCATGGCATCATACCATAATTTAGAATCATCCCTATTCATGGCATTGGAAAATGAAATAGGATCATCTTTAGGTCTGATGTCAAAATCAGACTCCATTGAGTATACAAAATAATCACCAGAAATTGCTGACTTTCTAGCTTGTGAGGATCTCCTTAATTCTGTAGTCTCAATTGGGACTTGAGCTACAGGCTCTATGTTGACTTGTTCCTCATGTGGTGGAAGTTCTTGAATTTGTTGATTTTCAAGACTATCGGGTTGATTATCTTGAAAGACAGCCAATTCACCTATATTCATGGGTGTTGTATCAGGATCCCGTGATTCCTTCCACTCTGTCTTTTGAGGGTAACTCCCACTAGGGTCAACTTTCTCAATAAACTTAGCATTTCTGGCTTCAACAATTCCAAGTGAATTTGAAGGACAATAAAATCTGTAACCCTTGGAGTTTTCCGCATAGCCTATGAAAAAACCAATAATTGTTCTGGGGTCCAATTTCTTTAAATGTGGGTTATACACCCTCACTTCAACTGGATAACCCCAAATGTGTAAGTGTCTTAAACTTGGCTTCCATCCTTTCCATAATTCAAACGGTGTTTTGGGAACAACCTTGGATGGAACCCTGTTTAAGATATACACAACGGTTTTCAAAGCTTCACTCCATAAATTTATAGACACATTGGAATAACTAAGCATGCTCCTTACCATGTCCATAAGTGTTCGGTTCCTTCTTTCAGCAACACCATTTTGTTGTGGTATGCCAAGCATTGAATATTGTGCAATAATGCCTCCTTCCTTAAGGAACTTAGCAAATGGACCTAGTAATTGTCCTAATTCTGTGTACCTCCCACAATATTCTCCACCCCTGTCTGACGTCACAATTTTAAATTTTTTTTTTTTGTTTTGTTTGTGTCTCTACCTCTGCTTTATAAACTTTAAAGGCATCAAGTGCCTCGGCCTTATCAAACAAGAGGTAGAGATACATGTATCGTGTGAAGTCATCAATAAATGAGATAAAATATCTCTGACCATTCAGACAAGGTGGAGTAAATGGTCCACAAATATCAGTGTGTATGATTCTAAGAATTTCCTCACTCCTTTTGGCACCTTTACTGGTCTTGTAGGTCTACTTTCCCTTTATGCAGTACACACAAATACCAAAGTTGGTAAAATTAAGAGTCGGAAGGACTTCATCATTAACCAACCTCTTTATTCTCTCAATGGAGACATGTCCCAATCTTCTATGCCAAAGAATAGAGGAGGACTCATCAACAATATTACGCTTAATGCCAATATCACCATGCAAGGTTAAAAGATTTTGTTCAAAAACAGGATCCAGATTTAATTTGTACAAACCATTAATTAAAGTACCAAATCCTACAAAAAAACAGAGTCTTTAAACAAACTATAATTTGCACCAACAAACTGAAATTCAAATCCAAATGGTACTAGTCTAGAAACAAAAATTAAGTTTTTTGAAAAAGATGGAATGCAAAATGCATTTTCAAGATCCAAAACAAAGCCATTTTTAAAACAAGTTTGAAAGTTCCAACAACTTCGACGTGCGAACGCATCCCATTGTCCGAATAGATGCCTTGTTCACTTCCCGTCGGTTTCCTTAGGCTGAGGAAGCCTTGCATGGTATTAGCAATGTGCATTGTAAACCCGAATCAATCCACTAATCATACTGATGAGTATTAACAAAATTAGATTTATAACACACAAGAGATATGAGATTACCTTTCTTCTCAAGCCATTTCTTATACTTGGGGCAGTCTTTCTTCATGTGACCCTTTTTCTTGCAGAAGAAGCATGCACCCTTATTGCCATGATTTTTAAACGGCACTTTACCAAGCTTCTTCCATTTCTGATCACCTTTGCCCTTTTTCCATTGCCCTCTTTTATGTGTTGCTAAATGAGCACTTTCCACTTTTCCATGCTTCAATCTCTCCTCCTCTTGAACACACATGGTCAAAAGTTCATTGATAGACCATTTTTCCTTCTGTGTATTGTAAGAAATTTGGAATGCTCCATATTCCACAGGAAGAGAATTGAGTATGAAATTGACAAGGAATGACTCAAAAATCTCAATCTCTAAGGACTTAAGACGAGCTGCAATGTCCCTCATTTCCATAATGTGCTCACGCACACTCCTAGAATTGTTATGCGTCATTCCTGATAGTTTGCTCATTACGGTACTTTCCAATGCTTTGTCAGAACTAACAAATTGCTCTTCAATAGCCCTCATGTAGTTCTTGACCTTATCAGATGGTGGGATTGAGCCCCTAATGCTCTGGCTAATATTTGACGTTATGAGCATTAGGTTTAAGCGATTGGATCGCTCGCACTTATCATAAGCACTCTTTTCTGCAGCAGAACTCTCGTCCGTGGGTTCAAGAGGTTCATCCACACGGAGTGCCAGATCGAGGTCCATGCACCCTAATGTTAGAAGGATTTTGTCCTTCCAGTTCAAAAAATTATCACCGTTCAAGAATGGAATACGAGAAGACTCATTAGATAGTATAGAGGTAGAAATCGCTCCAATTACCAAGAACATTATTAATGCTTTGAAACAATAGCTATAGTCTGAATCAACCAATGTCAAATTCAGTAACAAATCTAAACCTTCCTGTGGGTAGAGGTCAATAAACTGTATTAGATTTGCTATTACTTTATAATAAGACTAATGGGTTCCAAAATATTTAAGGAAAAGAAAACTCATACATGTGGGTTTAGAGTGTTCAATCCCTTTAATACCCAATCCATTATCTTATTCCAATTAAATTTCATAAATAATTACTTTCCTGTGGGGACCCAAGAAATTATTGTTAAAACATAATTGCAATGTAAAAATCCAAAATTAAACTTGTATTTATGTGATCAAATACTGAGGATCAATCCTTTATGTCTTTAAGATGCTTGGCTATATCTTAAAAACAGAATAAATTTTAAATAATGGCATAATTTATTAATGTGAGCAAATCCTTATAGTCACAAACAAATACATAACTTTCATGCCATAATGTATATTACATACAATCAGAGTAATATCGCATGAAAAATCTCCCAAGACCAAACACATGTAGTTCAACCTTATACTAGAATTTGCTTAAAAATTGGACCAAATAAATCCCATAAGCCACACAATAGTGATCTATACTCTATATTCACATGAATTTTCAATGCATAAATAATTACCTTAATGCATGTAATATTAATGTTACAATTATTAGTACACATGCCAATCGATCTGCAAAAATTCATATAAAACTAAAGAAAATATTATAATTCACTGTATGAGATTCAATTGAATTTGCTTACTATTTAACATGCAACTAATAAAATAAACAAAACCTTAACCAGCATGTTAAATTCTTTATGAAAATTCTACAATAACATTCAAATAAAAGTATGATTTCTTAGATTTGATATAGAATCAGATTAAATATTTTGCTCTTTAATTGTGTGTGTCAAAAATAAGTTAATAACACAACAACAAGTCTCCTTAATAAAAAGATTCAGAATAAGGAAAAATATAATAAATATAAACCACATAGCACAAATCACGAGGACTCTACTATTGCAAACAGTGCTTCTCTTTTTCTTTAATATGATATTCAAAAGTTATGTAATATAAATTTACTCATTCTGATTCTACAATGATTCTAAATGTTAAATTTTATATACAAATACCAATGCATAGAATAGGCTTGATTTCGATTCACGAAATAATAATTAGTTTGATGTAAAGAATTGAAATAAAACTAACAACATAACAAGAAGTTGGCTCTATACCAATTGTGAGAATTAAATTATTTTAAATTCAGAAAGAAGAATACCTCTCCATGATGTTTCAGCCTTTGAATCTTTATCCTTGAATGATCTAAGGTCTTAATGTATAAAGAACCCACTCATAGAACACTTTTACAGAACCATATGAGAAAAGTGAAAGGGATAGAGTTCAAGCCTTATCTATGCACAAAAACAACGCATGTGTTTGATGTGCATATAATAGAGGGCTTGGACCCATATCCAGAGTGTACTCTTATAACTTCCCACATCAAGGAAGTTTATAAAGTCCCATGAAACCACCATAGTGGATATTAGAACAACATCAGTTACCCATTAACTATTAAACTAAATTATATAGCTCTCTTAAATCGCATAAGTTATTTGAAGCAACAATTAAATATATAATAATAAATATTATAGATAGTAAATAATAGTAAAACAAAGACAAGTGGTATGAGTGGGGCACTTTCATGATATTCTTAAATGGATGCTAACTTTTTTTTACGCACCTGAAGCCATTTTTCTTCCATTTGGTTTACTCATTTGCCAACGTTCATAAACTAACATGTGTTTGGAAAATTGGAGGTATTGATGAATGTGTTTGGTTCTTGTTTTCTTCCATAGTGGATCATTATGTAGTTTGTAAGTGAATGTTTCAGATTTTTGATAGTGTCAAAGATCTGTAAGGTTTTTTATGGAGAAATTTGTATACTTCAGAGTTGCTATATATAGTGTAATCAAGATCAGTATATAGTAATCCCTAACCCTAAAACTAAATAGAAAATACAAGATAGATAATCCCGAATCATACCTAATATAACGTAATTACAAACGCATGGCCTAAATCAAAGCCTTAATTAACAAATCAAAAGTATGCCTAATATAGAATATGATACAAGTATGTTTCACAAGAAGTAGACATATTCAATATGTAGCTTTTAAAGCTTAAAGGGACTTGCATATATGAGAAAAAATTCTTGGTTGGAACTTTTTTTTTATTTTTTTTTTTTTTTATGATGAAGCACCTGGCAACAACTCTAGAAAGTTAGAAGTTTGTGAATGGTAAGATCCGTCCTGATGCAGGCTTTGAATCCACTTGAAATGGTAGAAAATTGTTCTCATGAAGTCTTAGTTTAATTACACAAAGTAAAGAAAAAGTACAAAAAAGAATAGCCCCCTATCAACAAACTTGATGTTCAAGGCATGAATATTGTTACACGAAAGGGTGTTTCTGAGAGAAAATGGGTTTAAACGGAAAGGAAAGGAAAAATAAGAATAGAATTAGTTCATTTCTCGTAATTTAGTTCAGTTCAATAAGAAAATTTTGTAAAAATAGATTTTAACTTTTTGCGAGGTTGAATCCTTGTACTTTTTATAGGAACTAGGATTTGGAGGAAACTAGGTTCCTAGAAGAAAAGTAGTTTTGGTGGAAACCTTACACTATTTCTGTAAAATGACACGTTGATAGCATGACAGTAAAAGAAAATGGTTTCCTTCCTTTCCTTGGTCACCTATATTCCTGAGTCTTCAAAGGATGCGTCCATTTAAGAGTGAAATTCTAATTTTGTTTCCACACTCTATTGGGCTTTATTGGCTGAACTGGACGTTCAGTTCAATAATAAAACACATGCTCAAAAGAGTGCTTTTTCTTTTGGCCATATACCCCAGAATCACTGGTAAACAAGTGGCGAATGCCCATGTGTACTCATAATTATTGAAGCTTTAAATGATTATAAATACTTCAGAATATCCTATGATTTTGTTTTTTATAGTGCTTAATTTGCACTTAAGAATGATGAACATGGACATGGATACGGTTGAGATCTCAAAAAAATGGAACACGGATCAAAATTAATCAAATCTAACACATAATCTTTTGAAAAAAAAAACTTTAAATTAACACGTATCATTTATTTTTTATTTTATTTTTTAATTTGTTATAGATATTATAAGTATTTAAATCTCAAAAAAAAAAAAAAGATGAATGTTTCAAACATCATTCCGAATTAAGCACTTGTCTTGAAAATGAAATAAGGGGACTACTCCATGTGGTCTTTAGCAGCGTGTCCCTGAAGTTTGTCTCCCAGCGTGTCCCTTGAAAATAAATTAATTAAAATAAGAGACATCGGCATGTGGCGTGTCTATAAGTAGTCCCCGACCAATGACCTGCGGTGTCAACACTAGTTACGACACTGAGCTTCATAGTATGCAGTAACATAATCATGTGAATGGCTCTACCAAATTAATTGGTAAATGTGGGGCTATCAAGTGTGAGAGATGAAGGTTTGGCATGAGGATAGTCACTTTTGGTTAAAGAAATTACCTAAAAAGTTGTTGTTCGATACCTAGCCAAATGTGGGTTGTGTTCCTAGTTCATTCCTGATTTCCCATATGAGAAATAACACTAGTAATATTCCTTCGGCACCCATACTGTTGGACTTAAATTTGACTTTCTGCCTAATACTTCAATAGGTTCGAACCAACACGTATCTAACTAGCTTTGGCTCACCCAGTTTAAATTTCTTTACCCATCTGCTGGGTCTACTAAGTTACAGGAGTGTATTTAAGGTAACAGAGGGTAATGGAACTTAAGATGAGACAATAGGAGTCCATTGCCCGTGTCTTTGAATGTGTGGTTGCCATATCAATACAGTTCTGGTTCGCATATTTGACTCGATAACTTGTATCGACATGTCCACAGAATCATGTAAAAAATGCCCCTTATTCAGTGATATAAGATAACTTAGTGGATTCATTATTTTTATTTTTATTTCGTACTTGATTTATAAATTGGAAGCAATTACATTGGTGATATTGTCTTGTGCTGGTGCTTCTGGGTTCTGAACATGGTTTTTCTTTTCCTTTGATTTAAGCTCTAGCACGGCATTTGTGGTTGAATTTTTGTCTAGTTTCTCCCATTGTCTGCTACTCCTGGTCTCTTCTTGATTTATTTCTTATACACATGCTTTGATCTCATTACTTACATTTTCTTACTACTATTTTCTTGTTCTCATCTTGTTGTTGCTAAATACTGATCTTTCATTGTTTGTAGCAACATATCTGTTTAGGATTTGCTCTTATTCCGATGCGAGGGTGCCGCTAAGCCATAGAGTGCATACACACAGATTTGCTAAGTTTGTTCTTGCTTAAACCTTTGAAACAAGCAACTGAAACTCTTCTTTCTACTTGAGGATCATTGAATTATTTTTGAGAACCTGAGGCAGTTCCAAGACTGGGTATGGTTTATTAGATCTATCATTTGTTCATGTTCAGTCACAATGTTGTTTATCGGGCTTTTGGCTTAATATATTAATCATTCTAAGACTTGCAAGTTTGTACATGTTCATTGAATGTAGAGCTAGTACTTACTCCTATGATGCAACTTTATAGCAACTGGCTGAAAGTGAGTTATGAATGTGAAGTTTTCCTTGAACATTGCGTCAGTTGAATGGAAAGAGAGAGCGATTGCAGCAGCCAAAGGAAACAACTAAATTCCATCATTTTCGCGACTCTTAGTGAGTTGACTTACCTAAGCTAGAAACAGTTGCATCGTGAGAGATCTGTGATTAGCACCATGTTGTCATGTTGTGTAGTTTTTATTAGGATTCTTGACTTGGTCACATCCATTTATGTTCTTGTACTTGTGAGCTTTCAAGTTTGAATTAATTTGATAAAATTTTATTTTCTAGGAAAAGAAATTGGGTTGTTTCCCACGGAGATCATGTTTAGAATCAACGGACCTTGTTCCTAGAATTGCAGCCATTG